GATTCATAATTTAGCTCTTTCAATCAGCCTTACTGCGCTGGTAATTGGTAGATGCACTTGTAGATAAGCTTTCCTTGAATATCTTGACAACCAAGGCAGGCTATCAAGAAGAGTCTGTTTCCAATGATTGAATCAAAAAGGGAGGCTAACGCAAGTCGAGAATGATTGTCTCAACTCGTGGAATTCTCGGCTCCATTTGGATTATTTTCAAAATGTATTTTGTAGACACATATTTTTTCGAATAAGATAACATTTCTGGGACTAAACGTTTAAGTCTACAACACCTGCTACCAATAAAATATTCAAAGGCTGATTGGATATTCAGGGAATCATTCAGACTGGAAGGTTTCGATGGTGGCAGATAACTAGAATGTAATTTGGATAGTCTGTCTCACAGTCCACTGAACCACATTACTTTCCCTACAGCCTAGCCCTCCCTGCAATGCTAAAGCCTTAAAGGAAGCAAGTGTCGATTTCTTTAGGTTCAGGTTCTGATCTCACTGGGCGTCCTTTTCAATTTAAATGGGTTTTTTTGTTACTATCCAAATTATCTATATTCAGAGACTAAACTGAACTTGATGTATGTTAAGCTTTTTGTCAAGTATTAAAATGCTTTAAAGTTAAAGAATAATCAACTTCTGAATTTAGATAAAGAAGTCTGGCCTATATCCCGTAAATATTTTGTTTGTTTGTTGTTTAAGGCAGCACTCAGCAATATTCCAACTAAATGGTGGCGGTGAGGACTGGAAAATGCAGTTATCAACAGCAGGAGCATCGATCTACGCAGTTGGGATAAATGAGCACGTCAGCGAGCCTGACCACTCGGTCCCCTTAGAAGCATCTTATGACTGGGTTGCTGAAGACCAATTCTAACCCGAATCTTCATGAGTGCCTGTAAATCAGGAAGTCTGGATCAGGCAGACCAGGAGTCAACACTAAAACATTGAGCTTTGTTTGGGCAAAAGTCCTGGGGAGGGACGCAGAATATGGAGGTATATAACAGAGTGAGTGAGTGAGTGAGTTTGACTTTCAGTCTACGTAAACTTAGGCTCAGTGGGACTTACAAAATGTTTTTGGATTTTCTCTTGCCTGGTTGCTGACACTGATCTCTCAACAAACAAAAATCCTCATAAAACACATATATTTGACCTGCAGTATATACTTTCAGGGTGTATCACTCGGAAGCGATCGTGTGGAAAATAGCATTCGGAATCATTTGAGTACAAACATTTTCGTGGTAAAAGTTCAAATGGTATGTGCGTCAATTCAAAAGGTTAGCTGATCCGATCTTCTTCTAGGGTTTGTTAGACTCAGTATAGCAGCAGTGTGACGAATAATGCTGAGCCTAAAATTACTTAGACTGGTTTGACTTTATGCAGCTTTTAGCAGTATTCCAACAATATCTCTGGGGGGGCACCAGAAATGGGCTTCACATTGTACCAATGTGGGGAATCGAACCCGGGTCTTCAGCTTGACAGGCGAGGTATTAACGGAGAGCAGCATGCATGGCAGATAAGCTATAGAAGCTATTGTGTGACTGAATGAATAATTATGGCTCATGCCACATCAGCAATATTACAGCTATTCGGGACGAGACAATCACATGACGGACAGCATATACTCAAAACAAATTCAACAGGATAAAGAAGTTTCAACAAACGTTTATTATCTTCCATGTATAACTTAAAATGTCTCTAAAACACCCCCAGTCTATAGGCAACAATCAAGCTGAGGAGATGGTTGCTTCTGTGCAGACTTAGCATCTGTACATGAAACACCCTAGTACCATATGATCCATGTAAATGTGAGTATCTTCACAATGTACAAAAGTCATTAACACCAGATATTATGCATTTAGAATTGGCCTGTGATCAATTTTGTTGAAGAAGATGAACTATTCCTATTTAAAATATTCTTAATGCTACCTTAAATTTGTTTTAAAACTCTATCAAGTAACAAACATAAGATTTATTATCTGCAATATCATTCCACTTGTTACTTCGATGTAGCTGTGTTGGACCTAAACTTAACCCTGATACAATTCTTATTATTTTTCTTCCAATTTTGCTTCCTACAATTATTAAACAAAATAGTGTTTGTGTGTTATTCCGTGAAGCCTGTGTAGAATATAGACCTGTACAATCATGAAACTCACTTGAAATATACTAACCGCAAAATGTTAATACAGTGGAGCACTGTTGTCTCGATATTCATGGGACCAGGAAAAAATATCGAGTTATCCGAACTTCAAGAAATCCGACCAGGGCATATCGTCACAAATCACTATGAAAGAAAACAAAACGCTTCCCAGTATGTTTTGATTCGAAACTATAATCCGTTATCAGTCGTGTTTAGTCTTAACAGTGAGTACTTCCTAATTAATTCCTTCTTAATTAATCCTAATTACATAACAATAAGTGACACCTTCAACTCAATTAGCCCTAATTAGTTTACGCTACCGCATCCCTTTGAGTCATGCCGCACCGTGTAACCGTGAGGAAACAACCTCAGTTCAGAGGGATACTTGTCCATGAAAGGTAGGTGAATATCGAGTTTCTTTGCAAATATCAAGTTAAAAGGGTAATTTTGCTTGCATGAAATTATATCGAGATATCCGAAATATCGAGACAACCGTATCGAGTTAAAAGAGCTTGAATAATGATAAATTATGAAGGATTTTGCCGGGGCAACTGAGATATCGAGTTATCAGAGTTCAACACAACGGTGCTCGACTGTACTATTTATTTATTCCAGCAAGTTGACCTTTCAAGGTATCATCAATATTTTAGATGCTGCTTTTGTAAATGTGAGCACACACAAAGGTATGCAAATATTTCTGTTCGATCAATGTTAAATGGTGTTAAGTATATTCGGGGAATAAAAATGTGCAATGTTCACATGAAAAAGATGACAAATCACAAAACTACATTCAAACATCTAAAATAAAAGTGAAAATATTAATAAGCAGAACTGACCAATTAAAAATACTATTTACTGGATTGGAAAGTGACTCAGATTCTTAGATTTTTCAAATATATGCTGAAGAGATGTAAAATTTACAAATTCTGAAACACTCACAAGCTGATGAAATTTAAAAGATGGGGTTTTACAATTTAACTCATGGAATAAAGAACCTATTCTATTCAGCAACTTCAAAGTCATAAGATATGACACGTTAATCTTCATGCCCACACCTTTTATCACTTAAAGATAATTTCTAACACAGCTACACCAGAAAATAACACGTACACAGACACAGGTGAACTTAATGGTGTGATATTGCACAGTTGACATGAAGTTATTTATAGTGAGATCTGATGGATAAGTGAGTGATCCTGGTTTAACACTGGTTTGGAGCTGACAAAATAAGACACGGTAAATCTGTGATTTAAACAAAAGATGACATATGGCACACAGTACTAAGAAATATAACTCTAAAGATGGCCTGGTAAGCAATGCCCCTATTGCAGTGCAGTATTGGTGGCTAGTATACAGGGCTTGCTGAATGTAGATGGCCACTATGCCTGCAGGCGATTTCATTAATGCGGAAAACTCAATTTTACATCCTTTATTGGCCAATACTAAGTATACCAAACTCAAGACTAAAATCCTACGGCAACAGATCGTTTCAAGTAGCAGCACCTCAGTTATGGAACCCACTACCTCAGAACATTAAAGAATCCCCCACCCTTGAGACATTCAAAACCAACCTAAAAACCTTTCTCTTTAGAAAGTATATCCCCACGAACTATCTCCTCCCGTGAACTTCTCATCTGTGACTATTGTAGCGCCTTGAGCATGCACCTTTGTGGATGGAACCCAGTGCAATATAAATAGACATTATTATTATTATTATTAAAGCCAGGAATTGCTATTTGTGTGATTTGTGTGACACAATTTTGTGTCTCCACCAAGAAAAATTGCAATCTTTTGTGAATTGGATGGACCTTTTGCAGTAGTTTTTAAAGTCAACAGAGACAGGGCTTGAATTCAAATTTCCATCACTGCTTTCCGACGATAATATGGCCTTTACTTTGTGACCTGTCTCCAATTACAAGCATGATGAACCAATGAACCAAGCCATACATGGACGGTTAGTGTTAAAAATCTTAACATGGTGCCAATAAACACAAACATTTATCAACAGTATTAATACCAGGAGTTTAAGCCTAATAAACATTATATCACATCTAAGTGGAAGGGTGAATGTTGCATTACACAAGGTTGTAAAAGCTTATTCTCCAACAAAAGATTACTTCAATTTTCGCTCAAATCGCATATCTATGAGCCAAAGTGCATTGGAAAGCCAAATTACAGTTACCGTTATATGATGGTAGAGTGTAAAAAAATTAGTCTGGACCAGACAATCTTGTGATTGATATTACAAGCAACAGTGGGTAAACTGAGATGCCATCAATGAAGTCACACAGTCTGACTACCTGATCCATTGAGATACTTCTGATGACTAGTATAGGTTACTGGAGACCCATTGTAACCCATAATCCCGATGGGGCAATAATATCACTTTGGCTCTGTGTTGACGAGCTATCTCCCTTGCCATGGTGATTTACAAGAACAGCATGTCTGGAGCAGACAACCCAGTGGACTACATGGAAACGGCCAATCAGTGAGAATTAGTCATCAGGTTGCTGGTCTATGCACTATTAATACTGAGTTGGGTTAAACTTTATATTCAGTACTTAGATAAACCAAGAAAGACAAAATAAAAAGCTTGTTAATCTATCTACTGAAATATTAACGTTTAACACTTGGATTTTATATTTGGATCTATTGACTGGATCCTAAGTCGATGAAAAATGTATATTTCCAATATAGCTGTATAAATGCCATATGCCATATGAATACTGTCTAAAGAAACTATCTAAAAAAAATAAATAAAGAAAGAATACAACATATATAATTTTCTAGAATAGTCCTGCTGGGATTTAAAATCTTTTCTTATTCCAGGAGTCTCAACGAAAATGTTCTACAGACAACTGGAACTTTTTTCATTTTTATTTAAAAATACCCAAGATGGCGGCTGTGCTTGAAATCCTTATTATAATATTACTTGTACATATTTCGACAACAATATAAATACAATACATACAAATGGCAATAGATCATTTTCATGATTTCCTTTACATTTTCAGGACATTTTTACAAATCATGGCCAAATTTGGAGGTTAACTCGCAATAAGATGATAATTTAACCATGTATAACACAGAAAGGTGAATCACTTCATACAATTGAGCACAAGTTAAATCATAATCAGTAAACACACATCAAACAAGTGTTAATCACAAACACATATGACTCAGTCAGCTGTGATTCTATCCAACATCCAATAATACATAAAACCACATCATAAAAAAAAATAACACCTGTTTCAAAAATGGACAAAAGACGTAGATGTGACTGAGTATCTGACAATAATTGTTCATCAACATTTACATACCAGCTGATGGGACTGACTGAGTTTGGTTTTACGCCGCTTTTAGCAATATTCCAGCAACATCACGGCGGGGGACACCAGAAATGGGCTTCACACATTGTGCCCATGTGGGGATTCGAACCCTGATCTTCGGCGTGACGAGCCAACGCTTTAACCATTAGGCTACCCCACCGCCCCTCCAGCTGATGGGAAGCAGTGACATCATCAAATAATGGATGACATCACCTACTTCCGCAACAACCCGTCACCATTTAAGTAAAATATATAATGTCTAACGGGAGCATTTCCCGAAGAAAAGAATAATGTTGAGTTGCCGCACATATTGTTTCTTCTGTATATATTACAACAAAATTAACCAATTAACCACATCCATATCATGCCTAAATTAGTCCAGAAAATCTGGGTTTGAAATCACATTTAACAACAATCTTACTAATATCGTGGAAAAAGTTTTTCACGATGACCAAACATTCACTACATCCCTACTGTCAAATCAATACTTTTGAAGCATACACTTCAAGTCACTTCTAGCAAGGGTGCCTTCAAGCTGACATGCATATGCACCGATTGTCGTAACACCGGTTAAAACTGTATAAATACACAATGCTGATGGTTGTGTAGAAATGATTGATGAGTTCCAATGAAATTGCATATACAGATGATGGGAATCTGAGACTTCATATGTACAAAACCACTGGACTAACAGTAACCATGACAACTAAAAGCTAAGTCAGCAAAACAAACAAGGGCTACAGAATACACATGCATTTCTACTCAACAGCAAACAAAATTCCTCGATTTTCGCGAGACGTTTTTCAAATCAAGGCTCAGCAGAGATCAATTTGGAAAATTTACATAAAATATCACTGACCATGTTTAGCAGGAGAAATTCGTGGCACTTGTCTCCTGAGGTCAACTTGCCCACAGCGCGGGATCAGACAAAAATGTGCATCATTCCAACTGATTTACGATTCTCACAAACCAAATGTAAACAGGTAAATGACCAAATATAATTGACAATGTCTACACTGTTTTACAAGGGAAGTCAAGTCAATCAACCAGTATGACTGATATTGATAATCCTAGCAACTGATCTTTGCAATACTTTAAATTATTATAAGAATATCTTGAGGAATATAAATGTGCAGTAGGTTGAAATCATTTCCTTTCAAATGGACTTTAAGTATAAGTTGATCTGGTACTTTTCTTTCTCGGTACTGTCTGTTCTTGAGCCATATTCAGCAGTATTCCAGCTATGTGATTATGGCAGCATGTAAAAGACGAAGTCGGGACCAGACAATCCAGTGATTGATATCACGAGCAACCAGCTACATGTTCTGATACTATTACAATTATACATGTTGCAAAAACTGATCAGCTGATGCATTCAATCACCAGCATAGGTTGTTGGAGGATCAATCCTAACCAATGCAGGCAGGATAGGTACACATCAACTAACTATACAGTGAGTGAGTGAGTTTAGTTTAACGCCGCTTTTAGCAATATTCCAGCAATATCACGGTGGGGGTACACCAGAAATGGGCTTCACATATTGTACCCATGTGGGGAATTGAACCTGGATCTTCGGCATGACGAGCAAACGCTTCAACCACTAGGCTACCCCACCACCCCAGCTATACAGAGGGTGGTAGGAATCTGTTGTCTGTTTACCTTTCAAGCTTCTGGATATCTATATCATGCAGACTTGTTACCATTCACTGATTATCATACAAGATGTCCTAAAGATATATCCAGTGATATGAAAGCATGTCCTTTAAAAAGTCAGGAAAATAGGTTTTTGACATTTGTCTGTAGCTAAATCAATACCATGAACTGAAAAGGTCATTTGGATGTTTTAGACGATTCCAAAACAAATAATCATGTTGTCACCATGGAAACATGACAATATAGAGGTAACTACGTCTATGACATGCTGAAAATATTTCAACAAGAGCTAGTAAAAGCCATGCAGCAACAAAAGAGGAAACTAGAACTGAGAATACTCATCCTACAAAGCAGAGAGAAATGAAATCCAGCCATCAGTAGGCCTGTGACACAATGACGAAAAAACACCATGAGACAAGCCGTGGAAATATCAAAATTCATCCATAAAAATAAATAAAATGCACTCTACATCTACGACATAAGTTATGGTACAATCATATACACTTAGACCTTGCACATCAGCTGCACATCCTCTGTCAACAAGGTATATATAAACAATGGTATGCCAATTGGATCAGTTACCAGCATTCATAACACATTTATTGCTGTGCTGTTCAATATTTTACACATCAAACATTTTCATTATTGTAAACAGAGATAAAAGTATACTTATGCCAAAATGAAAATGTAGAAATTTACAAATACGTCATCAAGGAAATGCTTTAGGAAAATAGTATCAACAATGGGAAGTGAGTCTAAGGACCATCCTGGCCGAGGACTCCCGATGTTGTCATCAGTAAAAGGATGCATACCAGTACACAAAGTAGGATATGAGGCCAGTCAATGGCACTATGATGATCATATTGCCTCGGGAAAATTTCAAACAAATGCCGAATCCAGCCAATATAGCTATGAATGTCAGGAGGTTGGGGGCATTTTTATTTTTATACGTCTTTTGCTTCTTGGCTTTCTTCTTATCCATGCTTTGGTGTGAAGGATGATTCGATTTGGGGATGTCTGAAAGAGAGGGGACGACATTAAATACCACTTATATCGGAAACATGAAATAATACAACCACTCTGTACACGACAAGAAAGCCTGGGATGGGAGCAACGGAACTGTAATGCCACACTTGGTAGTAGGATTAGAAAGAAACATCATCAAGCTGGTCCAAGGACAGGGTTAGGTTTCAAGGAGGTAAAGAAGTTTTTACGAGAATGAGCTGAGGCAGCGGTTTTTAGAGGATAACAGCAGTTTTAAGGCCCATGTCCAGAAACTTGAAGTAGTCGTCACAAAATCTCCATAGAACTGTTTGAAATGACACTCCATCCCTGTGATGTGATGGACAGGAGAAGGTAAACCCTCAGGAGATGCAGGGAACTGACTGTTAGAACAGCAAGGATTTCTTAAAGAAGAATTGTTATTGAAGGGGATAAGTTTCATCCACCAGAATATAGACACTGTAACAAATACATTAGACCCTGTCAAGGTAAATTCTTTAAACTGATTTTAGCAATATTCCAGCAATATCACAGCGTTGCCCTAATGTAAGCATGTATGTAAACGTTTTGTCTAAATCCAGCAGGTGACTGACTGACTGAGTTTAGTTTTACGCCACTTTTAGCAATATTCCAGCAATATCACGTCGGGGGACACCACAAAAGGGTTTCACACATTGTGCCCATGTGGGGAATTGAACCCGGTCCTCGGGTGTGACGAGCCAACGCTTTAACCACTAGGCTACCCCACCGGCCCTCCAGCAGGTGACTATGTGATAATCTACACTGAGGTAATAAACATTCTGTGCACCTTCTCTATAAACATGTTCATTCAACTGAGTAGGTTTGATGAAGTGAGCTCTATTGTTATCCTGCAGTCAGCAATATTCCAGTAACAACACACTGGTCTACAAGTAATCAAGTTTCTGCCACAAGCCAGTGGTTGACAGCATGAGCATGTAACTTTCTCAGCAACACAGAGGGACCGCTCTCTTGTGCCTTTCATTTCTCTCATCGGGATGGGAGGTTAATAGGTAATGTTAGAAACTATTGACCATAAAGCATCGAGAAGGAACTGATTAGAAGTGATATTAATACAATCATTAGTTCAAACTAAACCTAGTGTCATTTACGAAACAACTATCATCATGCCAGTTAGTTAAGAGGCTTTATGTAGAGAAAATTGATACATCAATAGTCAACCTCTTGTTGTGGATGTTACATGATGTCTGAAAGTTGTATGCATAAAATGTTGAGTCAGTTGAGCACACAGTGGAGCTGTGATAAGTCAGATAAATAACTAGGAACAAAATAGATATAGTGACCTTTGGAAAACCCCACAAACTTGAGGAACTTGCAGTAATTATGTTTTATCCACATCAAGGGATTTCACTATCATGCAATTCCTTCCACTAAGACTTGGAACTTATCAACGAACCCTCACCCCATAACACCCTTGGCAAGAAAATGTCCTTCCGAAACAAACTGATATTCAGACAGTGAGTGAGTAAGTTTAGTTTTATCCTACACGCAGCAATATTCCAGCCATATGGCGGCGGTCTGTAAATAATCGAGTCTGGACCAGACAATCCTAAATCAACAGCAGGAGCATCGATCTGCGTAATTGGCAACCGATGACATGTGTCAACCAAGCCAGCGAGCCTGACCACCCGATTGTGTTCGTTGCCTCTTACGACAAGCAGGGTTACTGAAGGTTCATTCTAACCTGGACCTTCACGGGTCAACTCATATTCAGACTGTTCTGACAAGAAACCTAACTTGCTTACCAAACCCACATCAACTACAAGATGCTGATAAATATTAGTGCAGCATTTATAAAAAATCTTTTCACAGACATGTTTGCTGAAATAATGCATTATGAACCGTAACACATTCTGGACAATTAACCATCTGCAGACAAATAATTTCAAATTATCCAAACAAGTCTGTCTGTTAAAACAGTGTCAATTCAACTGCACGACTAACACCTATCAACTTCAGAATGTAAGTTGCAACATTCTGTCAACACAATATAGGTATGCAGGTAAGGCAAAGATTATTGTCTAGATAGTAGATTCATCATAACATCATCAAAATTGGGACAACAGTGAGTGAGCGAGTGGTAGAGTTTAGCTTTAAGCAATATTCCAGCAATATCACGCTTTAAGCTCTAGGTTACCCCACTGTCCCTGGGCAACAGTGACACAGTGTGTATTGCTCTGACAAAAACCTTCACAGTAGTGTTCCTTAGTTGTGCCAGGATCTGCTGATCCCAAATAAAGTCTAGAATTATCATTCAGCATATCAGCACCTTATCCAGAATAATTCTCTTTTGGCTTTCCTCTCACACAAAGTCAAACACCACAATAAACCCACACACCCATTAAAAGCATTAAAAAAGGTTCTTACGAATTTGGAACCCTAAACTATGAAGCCTTTTATAGGCTTTACAAAACTTTCAACTGTCAGTTTTAAGACTTCTCAGTTGAACTATTAGCCTCAGTCTGTCAAATGGTGTTTTCAAATTTCAGCATGCTAAATGTCAGTCATAAAACAAAAAATAGTATGACCATCACAAGTATTCAAACAATACTTACTTTCACAACCATAAAAACAAATACTATAAGTCTGTCATCTATCATAATTCTTTTATTAACAAGCATATGCCATTTTGTTCAAACTCAAGGCTTTTCAAACTATTTTGGTAACATTCACAGCTTTGTAAGGTTAACGTTAAGAAAAAAACAATCAAGGCTTTTTAAGCTTGTATGAACCTTTAACAAAGTAATGTGAAGCACAGAGGTGTTAGGACAACACCCATCTTATTCGGAGTTAGAAATGAAAATCAAAGCTTCAGTGCCATACTCCTGAATCATAAAATGAAATACAGTATATCAAAGAGGTGAATAGATTAACTTTCTGTTGCAAACACTCTCAATGATCCAATAAAGCCTTTTTTGAGAACTGCTACTCTATGGACACTAATATAGTTAATGGTGACTTGCTCAGATATATCAGAATTGCACATAGCCATAATGCAGAACAGGTGCAATTATGTCATGTAAGTATGAAGCCATGAGTTCATTGATACATATTCAGAGCTCATAACAGTAACAAATAAGTATTTAGAACCATGATATTATGTGCTAATTTCAACTCCTTGTCATTAATAAGTATGAACATATTCTTATCTGTACATATAATTAAGAATTAAACTATGGAACAATTCAACTAAATGATTCCATAAATAGACATTCTATTCATCCTCAAATTAATCTAGTTGATTTTCTACTTGTGATGAGTGAATGTTGCATTATGCCGCATCAGCTAATTTTTCAGGTATTTGGGCCAACCTAAGATCAAGTTTTCCCTCAACATCTTAATTTCCTCACCACAGCAGAATGTTTACATTAACAAGAACTGCTTGTAACACAGGACAAAATATGATAAATCAGGGATTCACCACAGATTCCAAACCTAGTGTCCTTGACCAACTGTTTGAGGACACATTTAATGCTAACGACATAAAACTGAGTGTTCATGCCTCTTTCTCTTTGATGGTCCTGTACCAGTGAATTACATTACCAGTAGAAAAATATCATTTATCATCCAAAACTGTGTTCCACAGGAGATATCGCTTGTGTGAGATCAAACGATATCTCCTAGGAGATATCGTTTTGACAGTAGATTTTGTACAATGCCCTGACAATGCTATGACGTCATGTACTTGATGACGTCACAATGCTATGACATTGCTGCACTGCAAGTCTAATGGCAGTACCATGTTCAGAGATGTACATTTTTCATTGAAAATTAATGAAGAGTGATTTTGGATGATAAATAGAATCTCGCCCTCGTGTCTTCTGATATCATATATATCAACACTCGTTGATAAAGTAAAAATATCCTCGGCAAGCCTCGGATATTTGTAACTTTATCAACTCGTGTTGATATAATTGATATCAGAAGACACTTGGGTGAGATTCTACATTTATCGAACAGGTGGAATCACTGTTCATCCAAATGTTGCTGCTTTTAATGTGAATCCTCAGTTTACATTTGATCCTATTCAACAAGACAACACGAAACAAATCTTTGTCAAGCTCCTATCCTGTTTAAGTGAAAATTTAAAACACACGCACACACGCACACACATTTGTATAGTGCAAATATCCAGCTCAGCTGCTCAAAGAGGCTTCGTTTTCCCTCTCTCATTGGATGTAAATCTCAACGGCATATTTTCAATCTCAACTCCCTGGGGAACATACAACTCGTGCAGCCTTTAGGCGTACGAAGTTGATGTGGCTTTCCCATCCTACAGACAAACTCCAAGTCATTAAGAGATTATTGAGGTATTCCCATCACACATACGTGTCTTAGTGATAAAGCTTTGTAATAATACAGCTTATTCCATTGCCAGGTAGACAGACGCTGGGTGGAGAGGTAGTATTCTTTTCCAAAAAGGTTTCATTTGATTATTTCACTATTATCATGATCAAGTCCAAATCAAGAATAAAGGAGTCATTGTTCACCCGAGTTTTTATATTCCAATTCGGTTTCTCTGACATTGTCTTCCGACTGACTGACTGACTGAGTTTGGTTTTACGCCGCTTTTAGCAATATTCCAGCAACATCACGGCAGGGGACACCAGAAATGGGCTTCACACATTTTACCCATGTGGGGATTCGAACCCCGGTCTTCGGCATGACGAGCCAACGCTTTAACCACTAGGCTACCCCACCGCCCTTGTCTTCTGAAGAGTGTGAACTGTCACATCAAGATACACAAGCAACATAGCTCCATTACTAAGCAGTGGTAGATTCTCCAGATGAGCATGTGAGGCCATACTGCACAACATCTGATACTAAACCATTGTTATATTAGTAAACACTGTTAGTGCCACACTCACCCTTGGGCTTCTTGACACATCTGTCGGCAGAGTTCCGGTGGTAGCCCTCCTTACACTGACAGCTGTAGGTCCCCGGCTCGTTCACACACCGCTCCATGATCCCTGTACACAGGGAGCTGTCCGCAGCACACTCATCCACATCTGGAACACATGACCAGGATTAGCATAGCAGACACATTCAGGTTGTCAGGGGAACACACGACCAGGATTAGCATGGCAGACACATTCAGGTTGTCAATGGAACACACGACCAGGATTAGCATGGCAGACACATTCAGGTTGTCAGGTTGGGGAACACACGACCAGGATTAGCATAGCAGACACATTCAGGTTGTCTGGGGAACACACACGACCAGGATTAGCATGGCAGACACATTCAGGTTGTCAGGGGAACACACGACCAGGATTAGCATAGCTGACACATTCAGGTTGTCAGGGAACACACAACCAGGATTAGCATAGCAGACACATTCAGGTTGTCAGGGGAACACATGACCAGGATTAGCATAGCAGACACATTCAGGTTGTCAGGGGAACACACGACCAGGATTAGCATGGCAGACACATTCAGGTTGTCAATGGAGCATGAGGGACACATTCAAGTTGTCAGGTGAATATATTTGACATATTCAGGTTGTCAGTGAAGCATACAACCTGGCTTAGCATAGCAGACACATTCTGGTTGTCTGTGGAGCATGGGGGACACATGCAGGCTGTCATAGGAGCATGGGGGACACATTCAGGTTGTCAATGGAGCATAGACAAAACATTCAGGTTGTCAGGGGAGCATAGCAGACACATTCAGGTTGTCAGGTGAATATATTTGACATATTCAGGTTGTCAGTGAAGCATACAACCTGGCTTTTAGCATAGCAGTCATGTGGAGCATAAAGGGACACATGCAGGTTGTCATAGGAGCATGGGGGACACATTCAGGTTGTCAATGGAGCATAGGGGACACATTCAGGTTGTCAGGGGAGCATAGCAGACACATTCAGGTTGTCAATGGAGCATAGGGGACACATTCAGGTTGTCAATGGAGCATAGGGGACACATTCAGGTTGTCAATGGAGCACAGCAGGCACATTCAGGTTGTCAGGGGAGCATAGGAGGCACATTCAGGTTGTCAATGGAGCATAGCAGACACATTCAGGTTGTCAATGGAGCATAGCAGACACATTCAGGTTGTCAGGGGAGCATAGCAGACACATTCAGGTTGTCAGGGGAGCATAGCAGACACATTCAGGTTGTCAATGGAGCATAGGGGGCACAATAATTTTACCAGTGAAGCATAGGGATCATATTTATTTCATCAGTGAAACATACAGGACGCATTCGGCTTGTCAGGGGAGCATAGTGGACACATTCAAGTTAATAGTGGACTGTTGCACCTACCCTTGCAGATGTCTCCCTCCTGTAGGAAGCCCTCGCTGCAGGCCTTACACTTGCGGTCTCCTGACCCTGTACAGCCTTCACACGATATGTCACATGCTGAAACAAACAGATCAATTGTAAGGACTCTGGCTAAAACAAGTGAAAGTCAGTAAGCAAGACCATGCAAAGGAAAATAAGAACTTGTTCTTCAAACGTACCAAAAATATTCCTACAATGTGTGTTGATACTTAAGATGCTTAATTTATATTTCTTGAAACGCTGATGCACTCTCTCCCTCTGCAAGTCCAGCATAGAGATGTAAAGAAACTTACACAGACATGAGTGCGATCCCTCGGTATTGATACAATACTGATTGTCATCACAAGGTAGTGTCTCGCTACTGCACTCATCAACATCTGTAATCAAAAAGTGGTAGAAATCAAAACCAGCATCACATAATAGTCAATGTGGTACACTTGTACAGAGCCCTAGATTATGCATGGAAGCATGGACAAATCAAATGGTAAATGGGTCCATGAGCACTCATTCTACACAAGCAGCTCATTGGGCTTATTCAAGAAGAATGAATCCTTACAGTGAATGCGAAGGTTCAAAAGCATTCCATTTGGCAATATTTCATAAAAAAACATTTACAGCGAATCTCACCATTGTCTTGGTATCATGTATACTAACACTAGTTATTTTAAACTATCGAGTCTTGATGAGCAGTTTGGATTTGGTAATACCTTTACAGCCATGTTCCTCTGTGTGAAGCCAGCCCACCTTACACTCATCACAGCCCTTGGGGCCTTCTTCCCAGCAGGTGCCCTTGCATGATATATGACATGCTGCAACATAGAATATTGTGTTGTCATGACAATGTAAGATACAGTCAGCATTAGATGGTGTAAACTTACTTTGAAGCTTGGAAATACCACCGGGGCACTTTTCCTTACTTTTGTTGAAAGAGTGAATGTTCATTTATACCACAGCAGCTGGTGATTAATTTAGCCTACAACAGACAAACCAGTGGTTGATAGCATAAGTGAGTGAGTGAGTTTCGGTTTACGCCACACTCAGCAATATTCCAGCTATATGGCAGTGGTCTGTAAATAATAGAATCTGGACCAGACAATCCAGTCATCAACAGCATGAGCATCAATCTATGCAAATGGGAACCGATGACATGTGTCAACCAAGCCAGCGAAGCCTGACCACCTGATCCTGTTAGTCGCCTCTTACGACAAGCATGGGTTACTAAAGACCAATTCTAACCCGGATCTTCACGGGTAGTCGAAAGTCTAATCATGTGGTCCTAATCTTGGCCGACTTTTACAATATGAGTCAACTCTGCAACTCTGGGTTCACAAATTGTTACTGAAAGAAGTATGTATAACACAAGGGATAACAAGGAGAAGCAGGCCTTGCCAGATAGTATGTTACTCATATGTTTCTATGTGGAAAAATCAAAAAGTTAAATGTAAAAAAGATCGGTAACAATTACATACATCTACAAACAGTGTGTGTGTCATTTTTATGTTGCTCAAAATATCCGTCTGCACACTCATTACACATGTCACCAAGGTAACCAGAATGACAACGACAATCCCCTGATCCTCCTCTGGTTCCTTCTCCCTGGCAACAGAACAAAAATAAACAACTCGTTTACTAGAGGTGTAACGATATGATGAGTCCTCAATATGGCATGCGTCATGATAATGTGTGTGTGATACGATTCATATCTTCATAGATCATTTTTATCAGTAGTTATAAGCACAGCCCAGTGATACGAAACTAAAAATACGAAACTAAAAATAATCACTCCTGCTTTGTCTTTGTATTCTCCCCCTTTCCGCAGACAATTTCAATTCATTTTTAGTGAGTGAGTGAGTTTAGTTTTACGCCGCTTTTAGCAATATTCCAGCAATATCACGACAGGGGACACCAGAAATGGGCTTTATACATTGTGCCCATGTGGGGAATTGAACCGGGTCCTAAGCGTGACGAGCGAACGCCTTAACCACTAGGGTACCCCATTGCCCCTCATTTTAAGAATCTGACAGAGAGGATGGGATAAAGTAGGAAAGGAACTCTAAACTTATGGGTAAGGTGAAGATTCCGTAATTTATTGTCAACCAATACAATAACTGTATTATAACATGTGCCTTGTATCATGATACAATACTGTACTGTTGACAAGGAACAACCCTCTTGCTATCATTACCAGACTAGCCCCAAAAGTCTTTCACTAAGATAACAAAACATTACTCTGAGATGAAAGGTCGCTAGGAAAAGTCAAACAAATAAACAAAACATGTCTAACAAAGTAATCACATCTGTGCAATGCTCTGCTTAAATCGCGACATCCACATAGGTCTAATTGTACACATTCACACACTAATTACAATATATTGATCTCCAATAGATATTTTGTTGGTCAAATATGGTCCACTCCTTCACAATACACCTTGGACATACAGTGAGTGAGTGAGTTAAAATTTAACATCACATCGGCAATATTTCAGCCATATAGTGACGAGAAAAGGTTTACATACACATTAATTACAAGTAGTTAAATAACCAGTCATCGAAGGACTGTAAAATATCTAGAGTATCACAGATGGTGTCCTTGGACATACAGAGAATCAGTGAGATCTATGTGTGCATCACTCACATCACAGTAGCCAGTTCCTGAGCAGGGTCTGTTCGGGTCTCCTGGACAGGGCTTACACTCGGGGCCGAAAGTGTTCTCTGGGCAGCATGCTGAAACAAATAATGTTTGAAATTGGGTACACTACTCCAGGGGCCCTTGCCACAGACCTCACATCGATAATCCTAGATTGAGTAATTCCTCAAAATACAAATACTGATCAGCAAACAGATCTAATTATTGATATGTTCTAAACCAAAATGCCTCAAGAACATTACTTCAACACACAGCTGGGTTGTAGACTTGAAGGACCATCACAATGAACAAACAGAAAGAAACAAAATCCTTTGATAGGGGTGAAACGGTATGCTCTTGCCACAGTACGGTATGTATTGCGGTACAAGGTCCTTGGTGCGGTCCATTTCGGTTCGGTATATGAATTATGATCATAATGCAGAAAATTGACAAGAGCCAAACCTCACATTGTTTAATAACATGGAAAAAACCCCATAATCTTTGTTATTTTGAATGAACAAAACTGTCATTTTACAACTAGATAGAAGAACAGTACGAAAAACGAAAATAACGAATTTTTGGATTGCATTACAGTATACCAAACCGAGGCAAAATACGGCGACTCTACTAATACCGCAGTATACCATTTCACCACTATCCTTTGACAGGCTTCCAGTTTGTATCTTTCTGCAATAACTAAGAATATAAAGTGAGTTACCATGGAGCCACATTATTTCTTTACCAGCAAACTCTTACCTTTAATATTATCGATACAAAGCCATTGGTGGAAGTCATAATTGTCCTTTTTAGCAAACTCTTTGAACCAGAAGGCTTCAATCCGATCTTCATATTCTTCTAGCATTGAGTGGCACTATACAGATCAAAACAAGACAATCATACACGGGCAACAAACATATTTTCAGTGGAACATTGTTTGATATCTACAAAATAATAACAAATAACAGACAGTAAATAGGTCATAAATAAGAATGGTCTTTCCAAAAGCTCAGATTGGTTTATTTGTTGCTTAATGCTGCACTCAGCTGATATTCCAGCTAAGTGGCAGTGGTCTGTAAATAACTGAGTCTGGACCAGACAATCCAGTGATCAACCATATGAGCATGGATCTACTCACCTGGGATACGATAACTGTCATATGTTTTAACATTTCTAGAAAGGCTACACAAATAGATACTTACCTCTTTTGCACCTCCCTTGCATAAATGATCTTCCATAATTTCCACAAGGCGCACTTCACTGTCATAAAAAAAGTAAAATGTGAATGCACACAATATTTAATGCAGTTTGTATCAATTTTTCAACTCCTATTAAGTGTTACATAACTTCTCCTCACTTCTCATTCATCTGACTGGGTTAAAAAATGATACTAGTCCACACAGAGTGTGGAAGTTGTTTTCCCCAAAATCTAGTTATTTTACATGAACCACAATAACAAAATGTGTTGTGGACAACATGTGACCAAATATGTAGAATTTGAACCCTTACACATGCAGTGGTTTCAGAATGCATGTAGTTTTCTGTAGACCATGAAAAAAATATGAAACTAGGAATATTTCTGTTATTCACGTTCCCACAGTCTTAATTAGCCTGTGCAAGATTCAATAAATCATCCCTCAGATCCTGTATTTTCTTAATTACCCATTGTCACTCACTTTCAATAGCCTAATCAGGAAAGCTCACAAACTTGCCACATCTCGTCAAACTGCTTACATAACTGACTACTACACACACATGCTAGCTTGTCTATACTGTTTGATAATCACGCTACCCCTGTCTTCCTTGTCAAGTAAAACACATTCATCTATAGTTAAAAAATCACCAACTTGCACTAAATTATAAAATCAGCACACTGTTTCCTACTTATGAAAAATAATATGAACAAAAGTGGCTTTCATCACTGGTAATCTTCACAGGATGTCACAAAATTTTCAAGCTGCAGTACAGGCTGCTGATAGCCACTCAAAATAATGCCATGGCACAAAACTTTCCTGCTTTACAGTATGAATTATTCACTAACAATCAGAATTATTTGCCACCTGCTACTTTTACCAGAACATGAGCGCAGTTCAGGCAGTTGTTAACCACTCAAAATAACTGCACGATGCAAAACTTTGCAGCTTTACAGAACTAACCATTCAGTAACAATCATGATGACAGGATTATCTGACACCGGCATCTGGTACAATGGGCTTCATATCATACCTCTTGGCATAACTTCCCAGTGATTTTTCCTCCCAGTTTGTATTTCCACCACCATAATTTGATTTTGCCGTCTTTTTTAATCCCTGAAAGATGAAAATGTAGCATGAGATAGTTCGATAGTCTCGTGGGCAGTGGGAATTTGTTGTGCAATATAATGCAGAAAGCAAGAATCTGTGCAAGATATTAGTGAAGTAGAGTGTAATTAGGAGACTGGTTAGGATACTCATGAATTGCTCATGTTTTAATATCTTTACCAATTTCATCCAAAGTAGTATTTGCAATAAGAATGTTTGTATGAATGCATTACACCAGACACCTTCAGCCATATTCTATTATGCACAAACATATTGGGGTTTAAGGTTAGTTCTTTACATGAACATAACAGTAGGTACCTAATCCAATATGGTAGGTAGGTGTCTGTTGTAATGCATGTGTACCATAATGTTTCACAATAGTTTAACTATTTGGTGGAAAAAATAATCATTTACTACAGAGACCTTGAGTACTATATATAGTCCAGCATATAACTAGACGACTTTGCACTATACCAAGGTGTGCTCTATGTAGGCCTTGGCTGGAATACGAGTTTATTCATATGAACTAAGTACTAAGTGAGTGAGAAAGCTGGTTCAGTGTCATTTAGACAATGCATTGACACATAGGATTGAATATGTTTAGGGACTTTAATCAATGGATCAGAAATTCCTTTTCAGTTAGAACATATATGGAATATGGTCTCTAATCAAACCAGATACCACACACCAATAAGTGATCTCTGACTTGACTAACATGCACGACTTACCTCCTGAAAACTGCTGACTAAACCTTTACACGTGGAACAGTCAGGCGTTTTCTTCTTTTTAGCTTGGACAAGAACAGGCATCCCCAACAGCAATATGAACACAATCACAACAACCAAAACATTCTTCACTGACACGCAACCGGCCAGGAGTGCTCGCTTCCTAATATCCCCATGCATGTTTGGAAAGTTCGTGCCTTTAGACTTGGGGAATATTTTGAGTGATGATTAAAGAAACAACATGGAAAAGAGGAGTCTACGATTCCTGTTAAAAATGCACAGATTTGGTGTCCGACGGAGTCTTCTTAACGTTACCCGAGAGGATATTTCCAGAAACGAACAACGAAATGCACCTGCTTCGAAAGACTGTATCTAAACTGCTCACACCGTGGAAATGGAATGCTGTGAATTTATAGCGATTTCTACTCGTTTTCCCGAATCCCAGGAGCTCTTATCAACTGTTTATATCTCCACGTAAGTGTTAGGACACCCATTTGGTGACTGCAAACACGGTGAGCCTACACATGCTGACTAGCAGCCGACATTCTCTTAATTTCAACCAATCAAAACCGGCCACGACATTCATTTCCCCTATAATGGTTGTAATAAAAGTAGGACTCCTTGATAGGAAAATGATCCAATGACAAGAACTAAAATGATTTCAAGCAAACAACACCCAGTTAGGAAACAAATTACTGAATGTGAAATTCAGTATTAAGTATATACCACTATGATTAATTACATGATTGATTTGATCAAGGATAAAAACGTTTTAGAGCCCTCAAGGAATAACACGTACATGCCGATTTCGGTTTAAAGTCCAGATGTCTGAAAATGTGTTATCTTCGACAGATTGGCCAATCATTTTAACACACATACTTTTGTTTTATCTTAAATTATATTTAGGAAATATTTACTCAATTTATTGATGTCAAAGCGGTATAGAAGTCGACTGAGTCGAAGGATAGAAGATGAATATCAGCTTTACTTGTACGTGCTAATTAGGACTTTTAAATTAAATGTCTTCTAAAGATATAGATCTGTATGCATCACTAATATATATGCATTCAGTTAAAAAGATAATTGCCACAAACTACACAGAACAAAACAAAAATCACTATTTCTGTTTATATATGTAGCAAGAAAGTATTTGTTAACTTAAAATTGTGTATATTCTCACAACCATACGCGACCCTCTATTTCTCTGGACAGCGCTCGCATTTGAAATGCAAATCCAGAAAAAAGAGGATACTACGACACAAGTGAACTGGGTTTTTTTGTTTGTTTTTTTTGCATGGACGTAATGCCATCATACTGTATAAGGTATTGTTTGATTGACTGAGTCTTGTCGTTCTTGAAAATGTATGTTTCAACGACTCAACAGAAAACAAGTCCCAATTGCGTAGATCGATGCTCATGCTGTTGATCCCTGGATTGTCTGGTCCAGATTCGATTATTTACAGACCGCCGCCATATAGCTGGAATATTGCTGAGTGCGGCGTAAAACTAAACTCACTCACGCAGAAAAACAACTTATGTTCCCATTTAAGTGAGTATGGTTTTACGCTGCATTTAGCAATACTCTAGTAATATCACGGACGGGGACAACAGAAATAGGCTTCACACATTGTACCTATGTGGGGAATCGAACCCAGGTCTTTCGCGAGACTAGCGAACACTTCAACCACTAGGCTACCTAACCGAACTGTTCCCATTTAAAGTACAGTCAGAGTGGTATATTGTATGGGAATGTAAGATCTGATTGGATATGTCACTGAGTAGGGTTTTACACGGCTATTTGCATTATTCCATTATTGCAGCAATAATCGCGCGTGGGACACCAGAAAAGGGCTTCACATATTGTACGTAACATAGGCGGGTCCAGAGGTGTGTGTGTGCGTGCGTGCGTGCAGGGGGTGCGGCGGACACCCCTACCACCACCCCACCACCCCTAATTCCACAAAGTTTGTTAAATGACCATTGAAACTCGGGTGGAAATTAGGTGTGCAAGGGTCTTGACAGACTTGCTACCCCACCGCCCCATATTGCATATGGAATCAGACTAGAGAAACTGTAGGGAGGTACATTTAGGGCTTTAGCACTGCAGAGAGCATTCGTTACCAACTCGTGTTATTCCGGGACAAGCCGAATAGCGTCTTCTTGGAGGTTACGGAAAGGGGCGAGTGGTGACGAATGTGCAGAGAGGGCTTGGCAGTAGGGAAGATAATGTGGTTCAGGGACTGTGAGACAGACTAAAATAGGGAGGGACATACTGCCATTTTGAATGGACCCAGAAATATGGGCTCTGGGAGGTGTGATGTTGGGATTTTACGTACGCTTAAAAAAGATTGCAAACGACATGGAACATTCAGTATCTAACTCCGTCTGGCAGACAGGTGTTGATAAAGTGGTTATGCACACAGTAACGTACAGCTGGCCTTCTGGCCATGGAATCGCCCAACAAAGTAAAAATTGAAGCCTATTGTCACACACGTAGATTCAGACAGCAGTGATTCAGATTATGAAATGAATGTCATATGTAAGGTGACATGTGGTTAAAGGTCTCGTTCCACGTTGTTTCATTTAAACAGCAATGTGCGTGCTCGTGCTTAAGTGCGTTTGTGTCTGCTTTTACTAGTCCGGACCGTTGTCGGTTTTATGGTGCGAGCCCTTTGAGGTAGCACACCCTATTATGCATACCCACAGTATTCCGACGTCTCAAAAGAATAGTCCTAGTTTTATTCTCTTACTGTCAGGCAGGGTAACAACACGTACCTGCAGATCTCTTGACGTCTTTCGGTACGTTGGTCAGATAAAAAAATAGCCATCTTCTACACGTTAAGGATCGCCGTTGTCGGGCATGGAGACGTCATAACACCAGGGGATGGTCCGTGCAGCTGAACCCCTTGGTGATGTGGGGTTGTGTTTCGTAAGACGGCAAGTTGTATCTCATTACAGTACATGTGAATCTCAGTGGTCAAGGTTATCAACAGAATGTCCTAGACTCGTCGTCGTACCACATTTTGATTACCATCCTTTACCAACGCTAGACTTCCCGAGTCGTCATCGCCCATTTGCAGAACAACGCCATCGAAACATTACCCTGGTTCGCAAGGAGCCCCATCGAACATTTTGGGATCATCTTGATCGCCAAGTTTAAGCCAGAGATCCTCCTGTTCAAATCTGCAGGGACTGATGCAGGCAAACTACCAGGAATGGCAGAGGGTTCCGATGTTGAGAATCCGATGCTTGATTGCCATCGTGCGGAAGAGACTGGCAGCTGTTATACGTGCAAGGGGTAGCTAAACCAGGTACTGACGTGGTGGCCAGTGGTGGTTCTTTACAATCAAATCAATCATATTTGTTCTGCGTAACAATCCAATTGGTGGCGTAATCATGGTGACAATATGTTTTTGTGTGTTCCTCTCATATTGCAGATTAATTGTTAAACCAAATTACGCTAAAATGTTTTGCGGGAAAACCTCGAAAATAAAACCTGCGCGAAATATAATACGTTTACAGTATTTTGAATTTCAATTCATTTTTTTAACTGAGAGTAAAATATGTTACAGTTACCAATTTGATACACTAAATGTGCTAAGCCTAGACATGTAGCGTTTTCGTACTAATATAAAACAGAGTGGGTGATGGTTGTTTGAATGCTAATGTGTTTGTCTTCGCGTTTTCACATCACTTCATTTACAGAACTTAGTCATCCTTGGTCTGTTATAATAATATCAACATTATGAAATAATATTATAAGATCACAAACAGGATATGTGCGTCATGAACCTTTATTATTTGAAATATAACACAAATAATACAAGTATGTACAAAATATTTACACCATGTTCACACATGACTGTCTTGTACACTTGAGATACGGACTTTATATATATTATAAACAAGTTACCGTAAATATTTACACACAGGTAAACGGAAAACAAGAGTTTTCAAACATTCAACTCTACAACTGTATTGACTTCTTCCGCATCTGGCTATCAGCATCCCTTGGCCTGTTTGCTAATATTCTTTTGTTGTTGTTTTTCGAGTTAATGTTCTTGATATATTTCCACCATCCACCGTTGTCTACATCCTGACAGCCATTACCAGCGCGATGATCTACTTATTTGCTGGGTTCTGCCTCTTCGCCGCCCGCTCTTCTTCAAGCTTTTTCAGTTTCACCTCCCTCATCTGGAGCTGATGTTCCGCCCTCATTTTCTTGAGGAACTGGCGACGTTTCTTCTCGTCCTTGACAGCCTTTGTGTTTGATTTCCCTGTCCAGTTGTTTTCTCTGGACTTGCTCCACAAACCTGTATGAAATTATATGGAATTAGATCAATATAAAATTCATACAAAGGCACGAGTAATCATTACACATGTTTTACCTGTCCAGTCGGAATAGATCAGCCTTCTGTCTCCTCCTCTCAGCTGTGTAGAAGCATCGCACTAGGATTTGCTCCAGACGCCGGGGAGCTTTGCCACGGGGAACAACCCCTTCCACGGCGGGGACAGAGAAGGCCACCCCTCCGCTGGACTGACGGTCGGGGACCAAGCCCTCGTCTCGTAGCTGTTGAAGAATCTCCGCCCCTGACAGACGGGGTGTGGGCCGTGTCACCTGACACTTGGCGTAGTACAGCTCGTGAGGACAGTTGATCTTGCCCGTCAGAGCCTCCTCGGGAGATGTCTGCTTGAAAGGCGTAACCTTGGTCTGTTTGCAACCCATATTAAATAGATATCCTTTGGCATCTATGAAACACGTCAAGTCTCCACGAATGCTGTCGAGACAATAACGTGACGACACAATTACGTGACGTCATAATGAAGTGGCGTCATTTACTTGCCCATTCCAGTTATGAACATGATCGCCCATTCCCGCCCATCCCGCTGATGTTGTCAAAAGTATACAATCAAAACATTAAATTAGTTTACAGTTATCCGTTTCTGCGAAGGAAAATTCCAAACTGACGTTTCTTTTGCTGCCTAGTATATGTTATCATATGTTATCATATGCTAACTAAAAACCTTAACCAGAATAAAGAAGCCGCCCATCATATCTTAACTAAACAAAGGACAAGTCACTAAAACAATTGGTGAAGCTTATTTGAAAAAACCCCGGTATTGATTCCCTTACCCAATGTGGCTTTCGCGGCGATTCGCGGCACCGAGGTTTGTACTTGAACTGTGGCTTTAGCGGCAATTGGTATTTTTGAAATGTGACTTTCCCGGGCGGACACCAAGAGTGCGGGCGTTTTCCTGCATCCGGCGGCGTTTGGTCGGCTTCTGGCCAGCTTCTAGTTGAAGTAAAGTTCTTGTGGGCAAAGTTCCGAACACTGGCGAGGAGGATAACCACGATGATTGATACAACATTTCGATGACATCTCTATCGTACGATATCAAATACAATAATATGCAGAAATATTAAAACTCATTTTGATGCTGAAATGTACAATATTGTCTCTATGAAGTGAAAGATTGTTATGCTATGTAAAACTTGAACGTACCTAAGGTGTCCGAACGATTAAAGAACCACTAAACTTTGTTTTTGTTACTCTTTTAACCATTACATATGAAGATTTGTGGTTAGTCTTATGCGGAACACCAAATTTATTCTTTAAAAACTTGTGGTTAATTAATACCGAGCGATTAAAAGTGGCCAAAAAGTCGCCTGCTTCCTCTCGCCCGCCAACGAAACCACAGACGGGTTACGTAACTCTGTCGCCAGAGCACTGCAGTGACGTCATATGAGGAACGATTTTCAGTTAGTTGTATAGAAAGTGTGTAGCACGCTCTCATCATTTTGATGATTTCTCGACATCAACGACGACATGCCGAATCGTTGCTTTGCCGTCAATTGCTCTAGGGTCGGGTGATGATGGTGTCACCATGCACAGATTTCCACAGGACCCCGCAGTTCGTGGTAAATGGGTTATGTTTGTGAGTGCGAAGCGAGCGTTGTGGAAGCCTGAAACGATATCTTACTTGTGTTCGGAGATCGCTTCACGGAAGTTAAAGAATCAAAACTACTTACTAGTTATAGTAAAATATGTATATGATTGATGACCATAAAGATTTTCCATAACACAACTTGTAACATAACGATTTCTTCCTCGGAAGTGAGGTTGTGGTCGAAGTAACAATAATATTGTAAGTAGTATTATATTGACACCCACCTCGCTGCCACGAGAAATTGTTATGTTATACATATGTCATGCAAAATCCTATTGGCCATCAATAAAATACATATTTTACTACCAGTAGAAAAGTAGTTTTGATTTTTATAACTCAGTGAAAACAAACCTAAATAGCATTTATCCACAGACTGGCGGATGTTCCCGATAGGGCGCCGCCATTTTGAAAATCGTAAAAGTCTGTTAGAATTAATGAGATTATAGTTTGTTTTCATCAGGATTAGAAAATCAATACTACTTTCTACTCGTAGTTAAATATGTATTGGAATCATAACCAAAAGGATTTTGCATGACACAACTTATAACATAACGATTTCTTCCACGGAAGCGAGGTGAGGGTCGAAGTCACAATACTGCGCGATAAATTTCTTGCTACATTCACATGGTTAATGTCCACTCACCAGTATGTAGATACTAGTCAATGTGCGTCTTTATATTTGGTCTTATAATCCTAATTAGTTTATTATCATACTTTTATGCATTTTGAAACTAAATAAAAGCTGACGATCTGCTGATACTTATAGTGAATTTATAACAGAACTGTAATATCTAGACATTTTATAGTTTGCCAATGTGAATCATAATTCGCACACACACCCTAGTGTATGTTGTCTGTCTCATTACACTTCACGGCGAAAACAATGATTCTGTTGAATGCTACGACAAATGAATAAAAAACAAAATGCAAATATTAAAATTAAAACAGATTAAAGTTATAGGAACAATATCAGGCCATTACCTTGTTTGAGGAATGTATCCATCAATATCCACAAAACTGTTCCAAATGATGTGTCTTTTTAACAGTTTAATATACGAAAAAAAGTGACAAATCTTTTCCAGGTATTGGTGTATAGTCTCATTGGTCACCCAAGATAGCACATCTGGCAACTAATTGCATAATGTCCGCCTTTCATTAAAAACAGTAATTTAGTTAGCCAATAATGGGCAATCAATCAATGTATTGCCGGTTAATCCTTTGAAGAAGGACGTTGTTTTACGCAGACACCGACACGGCAGAGTGTATTCAGTATAGATTAGTAAATCTACATACATAAACACTACCTTTTGACAAATCCGCTGTGTAAGATAAAAGTAATTAATCAATCAGCGTGTTATCGGTTAATCCTTTGATCGATGTTTATAATGTTGAATATTTACTCCAGACACAAGAAATGCCAAATGGGAACCTTTGTCCGGGTAATCTAAGTGTGTTACCACTAATTATACCTGTTATAAATTCATTAACTGACCATCAAAGTGAATGATGACAAATAACATGTGTAGGTTTATACCACCTAACACGGGTTACAACAAGGGAGTATTAATTGCTGTATTGCATGTGAAAACTTATGGGCCGACACTGTTTTGAGGGAATTCAAACAGATTTTTACATGACATGATTAAATATCGAGGTAAAAAACACAGAAATGGGATCAATTTGGATCAGTCATTATACAAATGGGGCCTAACGACACCAATCAATTGTGACAGAAGCGTCTATGAAAACAAGTTGTAACTCGGAAACTAGGAAAAGCAGGAGACAAAATTAAATGACAGTAGATTGTGAGAACATATAGCTTTCATTTTCCACAACGATTGTCACGATTTCAGGTTTATACAAGCCTGTAAACAAGATAATTTACCCCTAAAATGTAGATGAATTCTGCATCGGCCCTCAAAGCTATTCCTCATATGACGTCACAGAGTCGCGCCGCTCTGATTGGTTGAAATTTCGTTCGCGGGTGAGAATTGTGCACTGTTGTCAAAAAGGTCGATTTAAGTCAATTAAAGGTTGAAATGAGTAGTTTTAATGACGGGGTTTCATTTATAACGATGCCAGTTAGTGATTTATGTATTTTACCCCTAGGGTTTATGTGACCTTTAAATTCAAGACAATTATATATTTCCTGTCCAAGTCCTGTCCAGAAAATCCGAATTTGCAAGTTTCAAACTTGATTTTAAGGCCTCAGGTGATAATTGACCAAACAATACAAGCCAAAAAGCCATGAACGGATTTGTGTGTTTGTGAGGATGTTAGAAAGTTGAGGTAAATCATAAATCATTAAATAATATATGGCGGGTATTAGATTCATGTTATGTATGCAGTTTTCGTTATTAGATTCCTTCGATGTCCATCAGACATATAGGCGTTTCTTCAAACAAATTCATGACGCCTTACACATACAAAGCCGTAACAATGACATCTAACAGCAGAAGCTTGGTGTAAAATCCCACTCACTCAAAAACAAATAAAATGAATGAATGAATAGAAAATAAACAAACAAAAAATCCACACACCCCCGAAAATAAAACAAACAAACAAACACAACAAACAAAAAACCCAAACAAAAACATCCACACGCTTCAAAGTAAATGTTGATGTGTCTGAAAAAATAAATAATCTTGTTAACATCTTGTTAATGTTGTATGCATTTATGCACCATATGGCCCTTTTCTATGCCATTGATCGTATTTACTGTTCATCACATTCATGGTATGCACCATATATTTCTCTCTCTCTCTCTCTCTCTCTCTCTCTCTCTCTCTCTCTCTCTCTCTCTCTCTCTCTCTCTCTCTCTCTCTCTCTCTCTCTCTCTCTCTCTCTGTCTATATATATATATATATATATATATATATATATATGTGGAAAGAAGACCAGAAAGCATGAAAGCTTGCAAAGTTACAATTTGAATATGCAATAAACTTTAAGGTTTCGTAATATCTTAGTAAACTCATATAAAAAGCCTTGTTTATTGCTTATTTTTGACATGTTATAAGGCAGAATAATCAAACTTTTCACTGCACCTCCCCTTCAGACGAAGGTGGTCCTCAAGTTTTAGCGTTTGCAAAAATATCTTCGGACGGACGGAATTCTTTGGAATAACCATGTACTGCGACTTTTATAGGATATACAGCTGGAATTTTGCAACATCAAATACATAGTGAATGAGTGAATGAATTGTGGCTTAGCCCTGACTTCAGCAACCTGCTATGTTCGATGTTGGGGACCTGCTAACATCTTCACTGCAGGTGAATTGAACAATTCCAGAAGTATACAGTTTTACGCCGCATCATCAACATATCAGCACTTTAACGGTGGTCTACATTCAGGAATGAGTATGATTTTTCCCCGCTTTTAGCAATATTCCGGCATTATCACGACAGAGGGACACCAGAAATGAGCTTCACACATTGAACCCATGTGGGTTGTCGAGCGAACACGTCAACCACTAGGCTATCCCCCGCCTTGAACATTTAGGAATCTAACCTACAAATATTTATTCATAAGAACCCCCATCCTATTGCTCCATCATGTAATAAATTGTCTCTGAGATGATACACAATAACGTAGATTTGCGTATGGTAAATGGACGCTTTAGTTTCTTTAAATATTGACCTGTCCATATTTGTCTCAGATGATTGTCTTTCCGGCTACATCAACAACCGTTTCCTCAACTTCTGCTAGAAAGAGATATTTCTATGACCATTTTTATGGTCAGGCTGTATCTGTTTATCCCAGGCTGTATCTGTTTATCCCAGGCTGTATCTGTTTATCCCGGGCTGTATCTGTTTATCCCAGGCTGTATCTGTTTATCCCGGGCTGTATCTGTTTATCCCAGGCTGTATCTGTTTATCCCGGGCTGTATCTGTTTATCCCAGGCTGTATCTGTTTATCCCAGGCTGTATCTGTTTATCCCAGGCTGTATCTGTTTATCCCAGGCTGTATCTGTTTATCCCGGGCTGTATCTGTTTATCCCGGGCTGTATCTGTTTATCCCAGGCTGTATCTGTTTATCCCAGGCTGTATCTGTTTATCCCGGGCTGTATCTGTTTATCCCAGGCTGTATCTGTTTATCCCAGGCTGTATCTGTTTATCCCAGGCTGTATCTGTTTATTGTTTGTCCTCCACTGGTGGCCTTGTGATCAGACATAGGTATTCTGTTGCCTTGACGTTCGGTAAAGAATGGAAATAGAAAAATAAAAATCAAGATCTAAACCGCAAACTTCGATAGTGCTGACTTAACAATATTTGCTGACACGTGAGTGTACACAGTATCTCCTCAGAGCATAAATTTTCAATTGATAACCATCTAAATTTGCATTAGATCAATACGTGAATAAGTATATTTAGCCTGCTTTGGTCGTCAGATCACAGAGATTTCAGTAGTTGACGAGTACGATGAAGATGCTGGTGACGTTGATGATCCTTTCAACGGCGACCTACACGTCAGCTCATGTTAGATCCGTATGGGGAACTAACAGCACAAGGATGACAGACACATTGATCAACATCAATGTTTTAACTGAAGTTTCAAACGCTCTTACGGACACCCGATGCGTTGCCCTTTGTCTCCAGAACGAGGCTTGTGTGTCTGTATTCTACAGACGGCAACACCGACGGTGTCAGCTCCATGACGTGCTGTTCATGTCGCCGCAGGACGGAGAAGAAGAGGCGGGTACAGTGTACTACAGCGTCAGAACGGGTGAGCATATATGCACATTATGATATTGCTCGCAGTATAAACAAAAATACAAAATCGACGTTACCGGTTCCATTGTGTAAGCAATGGCGTTGTGTCCAAAGGTGGTGGTGGTGGTGCGCACACCTGCAACTATTTCGTTCCCCAATATTGTCACAGCACCACTGAGCATGTCTACGGTGGGTATTAGGCGCATTATCAATAAATTATTATTATTATGCTTTACAGATTAAGATAAAAATGCAGCAGAGAGGGCTCGGGTTATCCTGGCACAGTCAGGCTGGTAAGGCTCATCATCAGCTCAGGGCCATTGCCCCCTCTGCACGCAGCCCAGACAGCGATTGGGACTTCTCCCAGGAGCTGCCTAGTCGAACCCACCAAGAACTTTCCGGAGAATATGTAGACTCCAAGACACTGCAGCCTTCTGCATTACTCAGAGTGTCAGAAGGGCTCTGCTCCCGGTGGAGAACCCGGGCATTCTCCTGATCTGTGCCAAGAGATTAGGAGGTACCAAACCAAGGGCACCGAGAACAATGGGAGTCTGACGACAGTGTACTTGGGATGCAAGCGAGACATTTCAAAGGCGAGGTCTGCATATCTAGCATGCTCTTCCTGAATCTTGCCAATCACCTTGCTGTCAAAAGGGATAGAAAATCCAATGATATAAATATATTCATTGTCTTTATCAAAAAGGACAAGATCAGGTTATTTGGCTGGAATTCTTTTGAGGGTGTATATAGGCCTATTCCACAGAAGTTTGAAAGCAGCATTTTCCATGACGCCCTGGACATGTTCAGGGTCGTACCATTGATGGACCTCGGAGTCAAAGCCTCAGGCATGGCGGAGACGATAGTAAAAGCAACGAGCCATGTCGATTAAGATATGCTGTTTGTGCCGAGGAAGAGCATCCACTGACAAGGTGTCGATTAAGATATGCTGTTTGTGCCAAGGAAGAGCATCCACTGACAAGGTGTTGGGCAGTCTCTGTGAATTCATGGCACAATTGACATTTCATATTGATACATTCTTTTAGAATCACATTTAGTATCATCATCATCATCATCATCATCACCATCATCAATCGTCTCTGAAATAGTACACAATACCGTAGATTGGCGTATACTAAATGGACACCTGAGTTTATTTAAATATTGTCTGTTTCAGGTGACTGTCCGTCCGGCTACGTCCACAACCGCCTCCTCAACTTCTGCTACCAGCTTCATGCAGACCGGAAGATGTACAACGATGCTCTTGCTGACTGCAGGTCAAGAGACGAGCACCTTGCTGTTATTGACAGAGAAGAAAAGCAGAACCACATAGCCAAGCAGATCCCGTCGTCGTCAGGTCTGTGTACCCGTTTCTCATTCAACTGATGCATGTTTCCTCCTATTTGGTTCAATACAAAGTTGATGCTATGGTTTTCAAATGAACCTGACAAAACCCCTTCTATAGTCATCAAATAGATGTAAATATATTACGTTTAACATCTATATATACTGGACAAAAATAGTTAGGGATATATGTAAATTTTGAAATTATGAATAATGATTTTTAATTCTTTTTGAAAGGCATTTAGAAGTTGGACGAACATGAATACATGACACTTTTATGGATAACAACTTCTTTTTATTCTTTACACGAAGTTTCAGAGCTTATTCTTGCTCCTTCATCAGGTGAATACTGAGTCAGTACAAAGAGTGAATATATATAGATAAAACATGTTTACGCAATGCAAGGAAGGAAAATGTACAAAGATAACAATATAATTGCGTAGCTGACAATATAATCCACGAAGCCAATAAGATTACGAAGCCAATAAGGTTGGATTAATGCATAAAGAAAACAATGTATTGTGTACACAAATCCAAGAGTAGGGGGTGGTGTGATGTACAAGAATAACAATAGGAAACCAATTGGATAGGATTAAAGATAACAATGAACTAATGAAGCCAGAGGACAACAGAGTATACACTGGGAAGGTAAATGCCTTGGTCCCGGTTAATGGCTGCCTTCTTTCTCTGGATCTCAATGCTGTCTTGAAGTTTCCGCTTCTTCCAGTGGTTGATGTTGGTGTGTAGAATCTGGCTTTGTTGCCAAGAAATATGGTGCTCGGGACATGACCAACTTTGAAGATTATATTGTTATCTTTGTACATTTCCCTCCTTGCATTGTATAAACATGTTTTATCTATATATATTCACTCTTTGTACTGACTCAGTATTCACCTAATGAAGGAGCAAGAATTAGCTCTGAAACGTCGTGTAAAGAATAAAAAGAATTTGTTATCCATACAGATTCATGTATTCAGACTTATTAATTGTATTCATTGACACACTGATAAAATATCAATCATAAAATACCAATATCCCTAACTTATTTTGTCCAGTATAGTTGCTAAATATATTTAGCTTAAGACTTTCTTTATATAATTTTGGTCATGTGACAACGACTGTATACCTTACAATACAATTGTACCATGGGCCATGTGGCCTAAAATACGGAATAACCTTGACTTGCATGCAAATAGATAAACGGAGCGAAGATGAATATCTGGTGGGAACCATCCAAAACACAAGCAAAGGCAAGTCAATGTTTCCCCAACAAACATGGGAATACACTGTACAAATAAAAATTGAGAACGTCTGTTACGACGTAAATTGTAAAATTTGCCGCAGTTTTTATCACAATTTACCGCAGTTTATTACGTGTTACCGCGTTATTACAATTTACGTCATGTTACCATTACGTACCATTATGGCATCCGCGGTCGAGTCTTGCTGATCTTTCCACGTATGACAATTTGTATGTCAGCTGGTTGACTTATAGTCATAGTCTTAGTCATATCGTTTATAATTGTTATACCCCTACCTATAAAGGACCAAGTACATAGTTATACCAATTAACTCCGCCTGTCCGAATTGTGTACAGCCAGTCGTTTGAGGAAAACCCTTAGTCTAAAAGGTGAAGTGCAGTAAAATGTTTGATTATGTTATTTTACCTGGGGCAGACAATCCAGTGCTTGACATCAATCTATGCAGGTGGGGGTGATGAAGTGGCAACCTTGGGCTGATCTGCTCTGAATCAGTTCACTTCCGGCACTAAGTTCTCGTGGTCTGATTGTGACTGATTATTGGCAAAACCGCTGTAACACCAAGGTATTATCAAATAGGTTCAAAGCCAGCCAGCCAATCATTAGAGGTCGCACCAAGATCGGGTGATCAGGTTTGCCGACTTGGTTTATACATATAACCGTATCTCAGTTTCTTGGATCGATGTTTATGATGTTGATCACTGGATTGTCTGGTCAAGATTTTATCATTTGCGCAGTGCTTCCATATAGCTGGAATATTGCTGAGTGTGGAGTTAATCAAACAAACATGTATGTTATCGTTAAGCATTAGTGAATGAATGAAAGCGTTGCATGCATTAATGCATGAAAGTGTACACAAAGTGTAGAATCTGTGTTCTTATTGTTCCATAACATTAAATTCACAGAGGGTGGCACCTGGATCAAGTATTTCCTTTTCGAGTATCAGGAGTTCTTTACAACAAAGTCGTAAATATACAAACAGATGAAATCATGCCGTATTAATGTATTTGATAATAGTGATGCGTTCTTATTTTCAGACACTAACATTTGCAGTTATTTCATCGATGGGTCGGATGCTGTTAAGGAAGGGCAGTGGGTATTTCATGATGGCCGGGATGTGACGTACAAGCCCTGGGCTCGGGGATTCCCCAAAAATGAAACAGGCAGAAATTACATTGTGGCTAGGAAGCATGAAAACTTTCGATGGCATAATTCGGATATACAGTGGGATGACAAGTGTTACATATGTGAAAGGGATATGCTGAATACACCTCTGTATTTGGGTCCTGTTACATAGCTGGATGTTGGAATACATCTCAAAGTGTATCCGTGTAAGACAACCTGGAACTGTGACGTGATGGGTAAACATGTGACCCCCGTCCTACCCTTAAGCCCCCTTGTCTCTCTCTATATATATTGAACACGGTTAATTCAGCGAAATAAGACTTTCCACATCCATAGCAAATTCCGATTTGTACAATTCCGACCATTAGCATGTGTTTTATGAATCTTTTTCAAATAGTGATCATACCAGGTGTTAGTGAAAAGGTGAGCGTGTTAATCCATTACATGTATTTTGAAGTTTAAAATATCTATGATTGATGATAGAAGTGACACATTCCGAATTGAGCGAAATTCAATTTGTAAATAGCTTAAAAGCCATGTTAAAGAAACCATATCTGAATTAATTGGAGCCACATTGGCACAGAACCGACGTGAATTTTTAATCTTTCGCGACTGCGATCTTATTATTTACATGTTCACTAGCTTTATGAACTGAAACTTACATGTTACGTTTTCGTTTATTGAAAATTAGAATACGAAGTGCAATTTTATATTTTAATTTCTTTTTACTTTCAAAATGTTAACTGACCTAGACTTTTCAAAAATGAAATGATCAACCAATGTATCTGATGATCTACCTTTACGCCGTTAAGAATAAAAAATGACGTACTGTCACACCGATGACTTGGTTTTGTTTCTTCGCACAAACTTAGATTACTGACAGGCAAAGAGTAACATATTCTACCTTTGAAATTAATGTAAAATCTATAGAGTATTATCTATAGGGATAAATATAACCATTTATGCATTACGCTGTGAACCAACCAATCTTTGATTAGGACAACCAATCAACAAACATTCCAAGAAGTGATAATAGGAAAAGATTCCTCTTGTTCATCGTGCCAAGGAAGCAGCGATTGGACACTAACAATGATAACACACATGTACTCTGAACCCGAGGGTTTAAATTCAAATAGTATCATACGGGCACCAATACAAGCAAAAATACGAAAAGCAAGCTTTACGGATGTCAACTTCTTTATTGTGAATAACACGACGTTTCGGAGCGTATACTCCCAACCATTCACCTGATGAAGGAGCAACCACAGGGGCGTGTCACGCTTAGTCACAGCGTTAGAAAGACATATAGGTATATAGACCCTACCCTAGTACTATATAAAAGGAAAGGGATGTAACGACGGAACCACCCCCTCCTCAATCAAAGATAGATTTCACAAGGTAAACTATTTGTAAGGCCCCGTCGAGGCCTACGGATCGAAAGCGAGATGATTTCCCTACAAAATGAGCTATAAATGGTCACAACAGGATCATTATTTCAAACGTTATACGCCACGACTCACCGAAAACAGCTACCTCCGCAATTCCAAGCCAAAATCATGGATCACCCAAGACAGCGAAAACTCACCTGTTAAATTCGTTTATTAATTCCAGTCACGCTGACAGCACCTATGTAGGGCTAGATTCGATCGGCAGCGGCATTCCACGGTACAACCTAAAACTTAGGTCGGTGCAACATCTACTAATCATTTCCTCGATTAGTAAGCAGGCCATATACGGCGTAAGAGTACGGCGTTAAACAACAAACAAACCATATCATCAGATATCATTTGTAAAATGGTGATAGATAAATACTATACACCGCAAAATATTACATAAAAATCACAAACATAAACAGTGATAAAACCATTCTGAGCCATGTCACACACGTACCGACCCATCCTTTCCGGGAACAGCCAGCTAAACAAGTTAACGAATCGTCCAACGTCGCAAAAATCGAAAATACTTTTCTGATGTAACACGGAATGCACGTGCATACAGACGGTATAAAACAGCCTACGCGACACGTGAGCAACACAGTAGTAAAAAGAACACAAAAGTATTCCACGTTTGAGGCAAACCGAAAGAGAGCTGTCGGAATGCCCCAACAAGGAGCTAACCACACCGTCATTGCCAAAACCTACGGCTGCACTCAGTCATGGACTGTTGCATTCGTGACAAACTCGTGTTATTCCGGGACAAGCCGAATAGCGACGTCTTGGAGGTTACGGAAAGGGGCGAGTGGTGACGAATGGGACTGTTGCAACGACTAACACAAACAGGCAATGTCGTCACGTAGTCGTCTCGACAGCATTCGTGGAGACAGGACGTGTGTTTCATAGATGCCAAATATCTTGGTCGAAATGGGTTGCAAACAGACTAAGGTGTAAGAAATACAGTTTGCTCTACCCCCATGTATAGTGTAAAGGTGTTGTCACTGATGCATCAAATTTAAAATTTATTCCACATGTCTACCATAAAACGTTTTGTAAGCTTTAGTGAGGCTTGAATGTTTTAGCCTTGATCGAACAACTTCTGAGCAAGAGTGTTATGACGTAAGTCAGCGTTAAGTCACAATTCAGAAACCATATACATCATATTGCAAATCGGTGTATATTTTATGAATTACATAAGACAAGAAAAACTGATTTTTGTTGGTAACAGTTTGACAAAATCGTTTCGGTTACTCAATGACCTATGACATTATATTTCCTTCTGCTTCCATTCATGGCGTTTTGTAATAATGCGCACAAAACTTGTGTGTAAGGGAATGCGCGCTGACTGATCTAACTGGTAACCATGACACCCGGTAAACACCTTCGTGAAATATACAACGCATCAAACTTGATTTAACGGTTGTTTATATCAGTTCATAATCACGACGGAATATTCAATATGTCAATACTGTTGCTTAAATAAAGAATAAGTGAATGCACACAGACTACACTTTAGGATATTTTTCTCATGTCGTCCTCTGAAAACAAATTTTGAAGTATTAACGATTTAAATATACATATATACATATCTCCAACACTTTAATCAAGCCATGCGCATCTCAGACCTAAACTCAACAGAACAGTTGTAAAATGTTATGTACAAGTATGTTCGTTAAGTTAATAGCTAGCATGCTTATACATAATTTCTCGTTTTTACTCATCTCGTGGATTGGAGTAACCAATTAGTCATTGGGGGGTCCAAAGTTTGAGAAACAATATATTTTAAACATGCGCATGCCCAGGTAGAACATTATTTTTGGGTGGAAGATCTAACCGTAGTTTACATACATAATATTACCTTTTTGAATACAATCTTCTGTCATCTCTGTGGAGACACAGCAACAAGCCACAGGTCGATAATTGCATCTTTTTTCAGAAGGTCATCAAGAGAATTTATCAGGGATGAGAGGAGATGCGGAAATAACTGGTAGCGACCTGTACTAATGTACTTGCATAGAAAGGGCAGGTCGCCATAGGAAATATGTGAAAGCATCTTGTGACATACATCGGTGTCCTTCATATATATGGTACCGTCCAAAAATAAGAGTACAAAAAAATCATACGAAGTTGTCGTTGAGGTGTACAAAACCAATACCGAGCGTTGCATCATGACTCAGAATTTAATCACTATTAAATTTCACCATATGCATGAATGGCACGTTATGCACAAATGCACACATGCACAGATATGGGAGAGTGCGAGGATAGAGGGGAAAGGTCAATCACTGATGCAGCTGAGCAGACATTGGAAATACCCTCCAGGTCACAACAAAGAGACAAAATGGCGAATATTGGATACGACTGAGGGCGGGCGTCGATAGCCTAAGTTGCCCAAATGTCTGGCAAACTGGAAAGTGAATTTTCTGGACTGTTTGTCACGGAGTTGCAGTGAGACCTAAATGAAAGCAAAGGACAAAAATAAAGAAAAAGCTACATCGGGACAAAATCGTTCCATCACATACCCCAGATCATGACACCCCAACCCCCAAAACGGCCCCCTTCCAGATCACATGGCCTGATGCAGCGCTCTGCTGTGCACCTGCAGACACGTCGTGCCGTCAGCTCGGTGAAGAGGGAAACCCGACTCATAGGTGAAGAGAACGTACACTCAAATGCTCCCAATCGCAAGTTTTGTCAAGTATGTCTTGTTTGTTGTTGACCCGTGAAGATCCGGGGTAGAATAGGTCTGCAGCAACCCATGTGCTTGCCATAAAAAGGCGACTATCTTGTCGTAAGAGGCGACTAACGGGATCGGGTGGTCAGTTTCGCTGACTTGGTTGACACATGTCATCGGTTCCCAATTGCGCAGATCGATGCTCATGCTGTTTATCACTGGATTGTCTGGTTCAGACTCGATTATTTACAGACCACCGCCATATAGCTGGAATATTGCTGAGTGCGGCGTAAAACTAAACTCACTCGCTCACTCACTCACTCTTGTTTGTTGTTAAGCGCCGCACTGTAATATGCCAGCTATATGGCGGCGGTCAGTAAATAATCGAGTCGGAACAAAACACTCCAGTGATCAACAGCATTAGCATAGATCTACGCAAATGGTTCGGATTTCATGGGTCAACCAAGTCAGCGAGCCTGAACACCCGATCCCGTTTGTCGCCTCTTACGACAAGCATGGGTTGCTGAAGACCAATTCTAACCCGGATCTTCACGGGTTGTTGTCAAGTATCGTACGAGTTGTAAGGGCTGCTGGCTGGTACCTGTGTTGGAGGTAGGTGGTTCGAATCCAAATCCATAGGTCCTCCGTTGGGGTCGTTACTGGCGGGTGACCACTATAGGGACATTCGTGACCAACTCGTGTTATTCCGGGACAAGCCGAATAGCGACTCGTGCCCCTCTGGAAGGATTTCATATTGGCGCATGAACATCAGAACTACTTTAAACAAGAACGATAACTCTATCCCTGTTTGATACCAATGTTTCTTAATACCACCGAAGCACATGTACATTGTATTGCTAGATTGCTGTTTTTGGGGTTTTGTTTACCTATTTATTTTAAAGAAATAAACCTCTTTGATACAACTAAAAGAACGAGAAAAACATATTTGTTAAAGACATAATCTAATGTAATTATTACCAGATGTTCACCTTATTTTTCCAATTATGTTAATTTGCTACATAGGGTTTAATAATCACAAATGGGAATTGTTTTATTGAATATACG